TTGTTGTTTGTTGCTGCATTTGAGAAATGTTGCAAAAAAAAAAAAAAAAAAGCATTTCGGCATACGGTCATAAAGTGATGGAAGTTGCCAAAAGTATTGCTCAAGCAAAGGACACATGTTCGATGGCCAAAACGCTGCTTCTGTAGCAAAGAGAATGTATTCTGATGTTCCTGTGCTGTGTTGCAGGTACAGAAGATGGGGGAGAAACTGCAGGGTTTGCAGGAGGAGAAACATCAGCTCTTCCTGCAACTTAAAAAAGTCCTTCATGAAGAGGAGAAGCGACGAAGAAAGGAGCAAAGGTGTGTGAGAAAGCTTCTGTGTAGATTTGCCAGTCAGAGATTTTGCCTGCATCGTGATTTTTGTGCTGATCTTCAGTGGCTAATTCATATTTATTTACTTGAGTTCTCTATTTTCACCCTTTTCATCTGTTCTAATCGACAGTGATATTACAACACTGACTTCAGCCAGTTACCAATCCAGTATACCTCTGCACTCAGGACAGCACCTGCTCAGCTTGCAAGGTGAGTTTTAAGACACTTTAATCTGTTTCATGGTTTTAGAAGATGCAGTAGTTTTAAAAAGCTATATCACTTTAAAAAATGGTATACTTGTCGTATAGCCTTTAGTGCTGTCACTGTCTGTGAACGATTCTTTGGTCATGCTCCTAGGCTCTTGACTATGGACGGCTGTAGCATCATCAGAATGTAAACTGTGATCTCTTGGCGATTGTGCCTTATAGAGATGTATGGTTTTATTCTTTATGTTTTGTATATGTACCTATTTTTCAGGCAGTCCTGTGAGTCACAGCAGGCCTGGAGGTCTGTTGGCAGAACGTGGTAAACAGTTGTTTCAGACACCTGGTATCCCTGTAAGTCAGATTTGTTTTGCCTTTTCCCAAAGTAAAGACCAACTTCTGTACATTATACTCCTGGTTTATTTGCTTGTCTTTATCAATGTGCAAGTCTCTAACCGAACATTATTTGTGTTCATTAGGGCCGTCACTTCCCTGGTCAACCAGCTTTCGCTCCAGGATCTACTGAGCATGCTCAGTTTGCAGCCAGCCCTGCAGTTCATGAGGCGTACGCAGTCACGCAGGCTCAGCACCCCTCCACCTACGGCCCAGCTGCATCGGTCCCCATCAGCTTCTCAGGAACGCAGATCAGGGCCGGTATGTATAAAGCTACTCGGAGTATAATCTGTTCTTAAAGTGGCAAAATCTTTGAAGAAATAAGGATTTTTTTTTCTCCTCACACTTAGACCAAGGAATAAGAGGAAAGTACACAAATTCTTTAGCCTTAGGAGTACTGTTTGTTAAATAGCTGAGTATTTAGGAGTGTTTCAGAGATGTCTGAAACTGATAAGAGTAGCAAATAGTAGCAGTGCTGAAAAAGAAAAGATGCGCACCCACTATCTTCTGTGCTCGTAAAGATGTAGGCCTACTGCAAATAACTGACAGTGCAAAGCTCATAAAGATGTACCGGCCTGATCATGAAGGTATATTCATATAGAAATAAAATATCTCCAGCAACACTATAAGAAATAATGAAATGGCACAACCATTTTGGACGTGCCACATGGTCATCTGGCTGCTCTCTTTATTTGATTTCTAAAGCAAATGGCAACAAGCAATATGTCATGTAATTGTAAACGTTATTAAACACATATTTCTGTTAGAAAGTGCTTCTGTTCTTAGCCAGTTACTCCATGTTTACTCACACACTTAC